TCAATGTCAATATCCTGGTTATGGGTTTTGTTCTTTTTTTTTTTTTTTTTGAGACAGTCTTGCTCTGTCACCCAAGCTGGAGTCCAGTGGCACAATCTTGGCTCACTGAACCTCCGCCTTCAGGGTTCAAGTGATTCTTTTGCAAGACTCCATCTTAAAAAAAAAAAGGAGAGAGAGAAAGACACTGGATGGGTTTAACAGCAGGTTATATGTTGCAGAAGAAACATGGACTTCAAGATAGAGCAACAAAGACAATCCAAAATAAAGGGAAAAAGTGGGAACCTCTTCCCCATGAGAACTTCTTGAGCTGTGAGATAACTTGTAATTGTGAGTCCCCAAAGAAGCAGGGGAGAAAGAAATACTTGAAAAGAAAACTTTTCCAAACTGATAAACACTCTAATCCAATGGATCTTAAAAGGTCAACAAACCCAAAGCACAAGAGCATGCAGAACACTACACCGTAGCCAAGTCTCATGATGAAATTGCTCAAAAGCGGCTGGCCCAAAGGTAGTGACTTATCTCAACTGATTGTTCATAGTCCGTTACAGATCGAACTCCTTGTTCTACTCTTTCCCCCCTTCTCACTACTGCACTTGATTAGTCTAAAAAAAATGCTCAAAATCAGTGACAGAGCAAAATATTTTAAATGATTTTTTTAAATTTTTGTGAAGAATGGGGTCTTGCTATATTGCCCAGGCGGGTCTGGAACTCATGGACTCAATCTGTCCTCCCACTTCTGCCTCCTGCCTCCCTAAGTGCTGGGAGTACAGGCATGAGCCACTGCACCTAGCCAGAGCAAAATATTCAAAGCAAGCAGGAAGGAAATAAAGAGACAACATATAGAGGAACAAAGATAAGGGCAACAGCAGATGTCTCATACAGACAATATAAGCAAGAAAATAGTGGAGAAGTAACTCCAAAGTGCTGAAAGAAAAAAAACTCAAGCTAGATTCCTAGATTTATGGAACATCAAATGTGAAGGCAAAATAATGACTGTTTTCAAGTATACAAAAGCTGAAGGAAGCATCAGCAGACTAGCACTACAAAGTCCTCTGGCAGAAGAAATGACGTCAAATGGGAATGTGGAACCACATCAGGGTCTCTTCCCCCTTGGCACTGTTGACAGTTGGGGCTAATTTGTTATGGGGATGCTCAGTAGTATCCCAGAAGCACCACTGCTCCTGTTATGGCAACCAAAATTGTCTCTAGACACTACCAAAGGACCCTTGGAAGGAAAAATTACCCCTGCTTGAGAATCACTGTGTACGATGGATGGTTTTCATATTTTCCATCTCTATCCTTCTGAGCAATAATCAGAGAATTCCTAGGGCCAGGCATTTAGTTCATGAATTCACTCCTCAGTTATACCTCTTCTGCTCTTCAACCCATCTATTGAGGGGTTCTAAAACACAATAAACCTTATTTTTTAGAGGAGTTTTAGGTTCACTTGAAAATTAAGCAGTTACCGTATATGCCCTGCTTGTGCACACCCACTTCCCCCACTGTCAACATCCACTGTGGTATTTTTGTTAACAACCTTCATTGACACATCATCATCACCCATAGTCCATAGTTTACATTAGGATTCATTCTTGGTGTTGATTTTCTGTGAATTTTGGTAAATATATTACATATATCCACCATTATAGTATACAAAATAGTTCATTGCCCTAAAAATTCTGCTCTCTGCCTATGCATTCTTTCCTCCCCGAAACCCCTGACAACTCTGTTGAGTTTTTAAACTTCAAGTCTTAGCTTTAATGTCCAGTATCTCTTTTCATTGTTTGTTCTTGTTTCATGACTGCCTTTTTTTAAAAATAAAATATCCATCAAGATCTTGCTGTATTGGAGACTTACTCTGATAGCTCTATTAACTTTTCCCCTTAGGTGAGAATTCTATTTGGTGTGTGCGCTATCTTCATGGAGATGGCATTCCTCAAGTGTTTGGCCACTATGGGGCACTTGTGTTTGTATTAGCGACATCCTGGTAGGTCACTGTTGCATGTGTGACCAGTATGCTTGGAATGGTGGCAACCACTGCTGCATGTTGCACCCTAAACTGTTTTCAGCTAGGCTACCTCAGCACCTGGGCTTCATGTTTGTACTCAGCCCTTTCTGGGTATCACCAGCCATGCTGGACACTATCTTGTCTGACTCCACCGCTACACTATGTCCATCTGGAAACACAAACCTTATTGCTGCCTAAGTGGCCCAAGGAGTGCTTGAGAGGAATCATCACCTCATCCGCTGTCCTTACACTCCCATCCTTACAGCCTTCCAAACAGATGTAGAGAATGAACTCTCCCCTATCAACTTCCCTAGCCACCTTCGCTCTTACCTTCATCCCCTATCATCTCCTCCAGGACTTCGGCTCTTCTTGCATGTCCTGTTAGCTACCTCCCTTTAGCCTATGAACATGTTCAGTCTTTATTTGCCCTTAATCTTTCTTTTTTTTGAGACAGAGTCTCACTCTATCACGCAGGCTAGAGTGCAGTGGCATAGTTTCAGCTTCACTGCAACCTCCGCCTCCCAAGCGATTCTCCTGCCTTACCCTCCTGAGTAGCTGGGATTACAAGCATGCGCCACTACACCCAGCTAATATTTGTACTTTTAGTAGAGACAGGGGTTTTGCCATGTTGGCCAGGCTGGTCTCAAACCCCTAACCTAGGTGATCTGCTCGCCTTGGCCTCTCAAAATGCTAGGAGGACAGGCGTGAGCCACTGTGCTCCCAGCCTGGCCTTAATCCTATACACCTTTGTAACTCGTCTTTTCTCAACTGTTTTGAGAGTTGACTGCATTCTTCATTCTTTCATATCCATCTTTGCACTCTAACTTCCTGCTTTCCCAGGACTGAGAATTCTCTTGCTAGTTTATCAGTGCCTGCTGTTATGTGCAGTAGACTTCGGACTGCCTCTCAGCCCCACATTACACTATCTGTCCTCTTGACTTCTTTTGACATTCCTTCACAATTCCCTTTCCTCTCCTTCTCTTTTGACTGTTCTCAGGCTCCTGTGCATTCATTTGCTTTTTTTTTTTTTTTTTATTTTTGACACAGAGTTTCACTGTCACCCAGCTGGAGTCCAGAAGTGTGATCTCGGCTCACTGCAACCTCCACCTCCCAGGTTCAAGCCATTCTCCTGCCTCAGCCTCCCGAGTAGCTGGGATTACAGACATGCACCACCATGCCCAGCTAATTTTTATATTTTTAGTAGAGACCGGGTTTCTCCAAGTTGGTCAGGCTGGTCTTGAGCTCCCGACGTCGGATGATCCACCCGCCTCGGCCTCCCAAAGTGCTGGGATTACAAGCGTGAGCCACCACACCCGGCACCATTTGCTTCTTAAGTGTTGGTGGGCCCTTTGCTATTGGCTGCATTTGGCAAGAAATGAGCTGTGTTCAAAGGCAAGAATGGGAGAGATTGAGTCTAGAAACGTGCAGATTTGCTGAGCTGGAAAAGTCAAGTTATTCGGGACCCCAACAGGACATAAAATAGAGAAAACGCCCATGAAAAGCCAATTAAAATTCAACCTCTTGGCAAAGCATGCTTGAATTCGAATTCTGGCTCTACCACCACTTGTGTGAACTTGAGCAAGATGCCTTTCTGTATCGCGGATTCCTCATATATAAGATATCTACGGACTGGGTTAATCATCAGGATTAAATTAGTAAACACAAGAAAAATACTTACACTGCCAGGCATAGTTCAAGGCTCAATTATAGTCAGTCACTATTTTTTTTTTTTTTTTTTTTTTCCCCAAAGGGGATTTTCGCTCTTGTTACCCAGGCTGGACTGCAATGGCGCGATCTCGGCTCACCGCAACCTCCGCCTCCTGGGTTCAGGCAATTCTCCTGCCTCAGCCTCCTGAGTAGCTGGGATTACAGGCACGCACCACCATGCCCAGCTAATTTTTTTGTTTTTTTTGTAGTTTTAGTAGAGACGGGGTTTCACCATGTTGACCAGGATGGTCTCGATCTCTTGACCTCGTGATCCACCCGCCTCGGCCTCCCAAAGTGCTGGGATTACAGGCTTGAGCCACCGCGCCCGGCTAGTCAGTCACTATTAAGCAAAAAAAAAAAAAAAAAAAAAAAAAAAAAAAAAAAAAGGGGGGGGTAGTGGTGGTAGGATGGCTTCATGAAAGTTCAGGGATTTTTGCTCATTTTTACCACTTTCACAACGGACTTTTCTTAATGGTTGGCGGGACACCTGAATGATGGATGTTTACACTTGACTGTGTCACAGACAACATGTCCAGAGCTCAGCCCATCATGTTCCCCCTCCCGTGTTCCCTCTTACCCCAGAAAAGGGCACTAACATCTTCCCCGTCACTTGGCTAATCCTTGCCTCCTTCCTGTCCCTCGTGGCCCCAATTCCTGCCTATTTTACGGCCTAAGCAGATCTTGAATTAATCTTTCCTGCGTTTCCACGCCCACTGCTTAGAGTCCCTCATCTGTTGCCCTATTTCATCAATGGCCTCCATCCTCGATGCGTGAGTCTAACTTCACGCCTTCCCCGTCCCTGGGGAGCTGCTCCGACTACAGACGCGCAGGCTCCCGCAGACCTGCTCATCGCTGTCCAGGGCGGCCTGCGGGATCTCCCAGGGGCCCTGCCGCCGCGATCGGGCACTTCCCTTCGAGCGTTCGCTGCGAACTAGGCCGCGCGGCCCCGGAGCGCACGGACCAGCGCGCGGGCGGCCAGAGGGAGGCACCCCGCAGGACTGCCCGCCGCCCTGGCTCCTCAGGTCCAGCTCGGGTCCCGCCGGCTCCCAAGCTGACTAGCTGGCCGCTGCCAGACAGCAGCCCTGCTCCGAAGAGCGAAGGTCACCGGGCTCCCCCGGAAGTGAAGGAGCGAGGATCCCCGGGCCCGGGAGACGCCTCTCCTGGCGCGCTGTTGGCAGGACGCTCTGTGACGCCCCAGGCCCCGCCCCCTCCAGTCACCTGACCCCGCGCAGCCCCGCCTCCCCCGGCTGTCCTGTGAACTGGGCGGATTGGCGATTGGCGGGTGATTCGCTCAGCCAATCCAAGCGCGCCCAGGCGTCGCGGCCCCGCCTCCTCCACTGCCCTCAGGTTTAGCTGGAAGAAAGCAGAAGCCTCTACCTCGGCGGGAGGGGATGGAGGCGGCGGCGGCGCCGGGGAGGGAAGCCCCGGCGAGGACGGCGAGTCAGCCCAGCGGCTGCGGAAAACACAACTCGCCGGAGAGGTGCGCGCCGTCAGCAGAGGGCGGGGGAGGCGGCCGGCGTCCGTCCCCGATTGTGCCGTGGGGGGACGGAGGGGGCGGCCGGCCGGTGGCCGCTCTCGCGTGGGGGCGTCCCGCGAGGTCCGCCTAAGTCAGGGATGCGAGCTTCGTGGAGGAGCCCGGGAAGTGACCCCCAGAGAGGTGACTTTGGGGCCGAAATTCGAGTGACTTCCAGGGGTGAGGTTTGCAGGTTCTGGGGAAGCGGAGCCTGCCGGCAAAAGGGCACAGCAGAAGGGAAGGGCAGAGGACTTGGAGGTGACCTGGCAGAGCCCCTGAGCCCGGGCAGAACTTCGGGGTTCATTCGGAGCCGTATCGGGCCTCGGAGGTCGATCAGGGAGCGAGGCAATGTGTTTTGAAGGAGTCCTTCTGGCTGCTTCCTGTAAAGTAGGGGCGCAGGTAGGCGTGGGACCGGGAAGGAAGCCGGGAAGCCAGGTGGGATCGTGTAACAATCTAGGAAGGAGCCGTGGTGGGCGCCGAGAAGGGGATGCGGTGGTGGGGAGCTGGCGCACTGGCGCAGGTGAAAGGAATAATTAAGAAGGATTCTCCCAGGCTCTGGCCCAGCTGCAGGAAACTGGGGATGGCCACACTTGTTAACGGCAGGAGGCAGGGGGTGTGCATTTTCTTGTTGGTGTGTCTTCTCTCTCCAGATCCCTCTTTTTCCTTTTTGTGAGCTCATTCGCTCCCATGCTTAGAATATGAGGGGTCTAGGCCTAAAGCACGCACGTTTGGCATTCTGCCTTGGTTGGAACAAAGTGAAGGGATCTGGGAAAATATTCCCGAGGGAATCAGTGGAGCGAGATTCCAAAGACTTTTTATTATTTAGTTATTTATTTTTATTTTTTGAGATTGGATCTTGCACTGTTGCCCAGCCTGGAGTGCAGTGGCGTGATCCCAGCTCACTGCAACCTCTGCCTCAGCCTCCTGAGTAGCTGGGATTATGGGCGCCCGCCAGCATGCCCGGCTAATTTTTGTATTTTTAGTAGAGACAGGGTTTCACCATCTTGGCCAGGCTGGTCTTGAACTCCTGACCTTCTGATCCACCCACCTGGGCCTCCCAAAATGCTGGGATTACAGGCGTTAGCCATCGCGCCCGGCGACTTTTTATTTTTTGGTTGTGAAGCTAATAAAATTGAGCCTGCTCATCCAATATTGGTAGCACCTTAAGGAAGCAGCAAATAATGAAGCAAAGGAATGTGTAAAATATTAATCTGAAATTCGAGGCATAGATTTGTTCAGCCCAGCAGCAGATTGAAGAGCTATAGTCACTCAACAAACACTAGCTAGCCTGAGTTATTTTGGATGCTTATTTATAGGAAGGAAAAACAGACTTAAGGGCACATGCAAAGTCAAGCCAGGCTGGGAGATTCCTGGGGCTATGAATACTAGTACCAGAGTGCTGGAGGATGGCAAGTCAAACCTGCCAAAGCCTTGTACCTATTGAGTGATTTTTTTTTTTTTTTTTTTTTTTTTCTAATTGAGACGGAGTCTCACTCTGTCACCCAGGCTGGAGTGCAGTGGCTCACTGCAACATCCACCGCCCTGGTTCAAGTAATTCTCGTGCCTCGGCTTCCCAAGTAGCTGGGATTATAGGCACGTGCCACCATGCCCAGCTAATTTTATTATATTTTTAGTAGAGATGGGGTTTCACCGTGTTGGCCAGGCTGATCTCAAACTCCTGACCTAAGGTGATCCACCCGCCTTGGCCTCCCAAATTGCTGGGATTACAGGCATGAGCCACTGCACCAGGTCCGTTGAGTGATTTTGAACAGAAAAGATGTTTCATTACAACTAATGCACATCTGTCCATACCCTGTGGCTTAACCACCACAGTCATTGTATCTGGGTTTTCATGTGGATTGGTATAAGCACTGTTTATTTAAAAATGAGGTCAATGAATATCAGGCAGGACTACTACATATTTTTCCAAAGGCTTCCAAAGGTTTTGGATATTAGTAAAAAGATATACAGGTAAATTTTACTAAGTGAGGGATCTTTCAGGGAATTTGTACTTCCTGTGGCATTTATTTAGTCATATAAAAATCGGGGCCCTGCTGTGTGGCAGCTATGGGCTTCAGCACTGGTGACAGGGCAGTGAGAAAAAGCCCACATCCCGATGGAGCCAGACTTCTGTCACTCTGTGAAGATGAACAGTAAGGGGACAAGTCCAGTGTGTCAGATGATGATGCTGCCTGAAAAGGAAGAAGGGAAGGGGACCTGGAGGCTGAGGAGGGAGGAGGGACATGGGTGGCTGCAGTTTTGTGGGGTTTTCATTTTTGTTTTTCTGATATGGAGTCTCACTTGGTCACCCAGACTGGAGTGCAGTGGAATGATCTTGGTTCACTACAACCTCCGCCTCCTGGGTTCAAGTGATTCTCCTGCCTCAGCCTCCCAAATAGGGCTCATTTTTGTATTTTTAGTAGAGATGGGGTTTCACCATGTTGGCCAGGCTGATCTCAAACTCCTGACCTCAAGTAATCCACCTGCCTTGACCTCCCAAAGTGCTGGGATTATAGACGTGAGCCACCACACCAGGCCAGCTGCAGTTTTAAACAGAGCTGCAGGGCAGGGGGTCTCACAAGAGGCCTAAGCTGGAATAAAGACCTAAAAAAGTAAGGTGGGGGCAGGGCACAGTCTTTCTGGGCAAAGAAACTGAAAGTGCAAGGTCTGGGGCCAAAGTTCATCTGCCCCAGGGAGAAGCGCAGGTCACCACAGGCCCCACAGAATATCGCAGAAATGGGTGTGGGGAAATAAGGCAAACCTCTGATGAAGTTAAAACAGCAGACAGGAAAATTCCCTTGGGAATCTGCAGCTGTTTCCCTTCGTCCATAAGGAAGAAGCCATCGATCCGCCCTTTACAGCCGCAAATGGGTAATATGGGCCCAGCACACCATTAATCCTACCAAGGGGTAGAAAGAATCATCATGGCCGATATGGTGAAACCCCGTCTCTACTAAAAATACAAAAAATTAGCTGGACGTGGTGGCACATGCCTGTAATCCCAGCTACGTGGGAGGCTGAGACAGGAGAATCGCTTGAACCCAGGAGGTGGAGGTTGTGGTGAGCCAAGAATGCACCATTGCACTTCAGCCTGGGCAATAAGAGCAAAACTGTGTCTCAAAAAAAAAAAAAAAGAATGTTTGTTATTGGAGATTAGGTCTGGCTGTGTTGCCCAGGCTGGAGTAAGTGGTGATTCATAGGTGCCATCATAGCTCACTGCAGCCTCAAACTTCTGGCCTCAAGTGGTCATTCTACCTCGGCCTCCCCAGTGACTGGGACTACAGGTACAATCCACTGTGCCCTGTTAGAAAGAAATTTTGAAAACCTAAATGAAAGGTTTAGGATTTGCCACATTGTTGAGTTTATGGTTCGTAATTTGTGGAAACCTACAGGCCACTGGCAGGGTTCACTCAGGTCCAGAACAGGATTTCTCCCGGAGAGCTATTCCCAAACTTTGCATGAGACAATGCCTGTCATTGGCATTTAATTATTCTCCACATTTGCAAGTTTAATACATCAGAAATTTCAGTTTTACTATAGGAGAGACTGGATACAAGGCAACGTGCAGAAGATTAGCCAGAACAGACCAACAAATCCTATCAATTATAAAAGAAATTGGCAAAAACTAGATCATTAGAAATGATGCATACGTTTTCCATAAGTAGTGCAGATCTGGAGATGCCTGAGTGCAGCTTGTGGATGCCTGCAGTGCTCGTTGCAGAGGACCGCCGTGCCCTTGACGCCATTTGCCCCTGCCAACAGCATAGACATAGAGCAGCCGTATTTCCCGTATGGCATCTCCTTTTCCTTAATGGGTGTCTTTCTTCCCTTCAGGAAGGTTTATATGGACTATAATGCAACCACTCCCCTGGAGCCAGAAGTCATCCAGGCCGTGACCGAGGCCATGTGGGAAGCCTGGGGAAATCCCAGCAGTCCTTATCCGGCAGGTAATTCTAGAAGATGCACATGTTCACAGATGGGAGATAAGGGGGCCAGGGCGCTCTTAGAGCAGTTGCATACCCACATGTGATGGCTTTGTTTTCAATAGATTTCTGTTGGCTGCAAATCTTGAGCTGTAATTTTTTGATAGTTTCTTTTCTGAGAAGTTCACATTTGTAACCTGAGCCTCGCTGATCCTGTACTCTTTAATCTTTAATGTTTAATCTTTAACATGCTGTCCTCACCCCTTCCCAGATGAGAAAGGTGTCTGTTGGGAGTTCCTTGTAGTAGCAGTCAGTACCTGCTGCACGCTTCACGGATCTAACTTAGTCAGTCCTTACAGAGTCTGCAAAATAGGTCTTTTAGGTCATCAGGATAACATACAATCCTGGCCCTTTTTAAAAATGAAAATTACTTATTAATTACTTTAGTTATAAATATTCTCATTTGTTTAATCTTGTAGAGCGTTAAATTGGAGGTTCTGGAGAATAATTTGCTTCAAGTCAGTTATATGGCAGAATTAAAATCTGTTTTTCAGGCAGATGAGCAAGCTAAAGTCTTACCTTTCTTATTTAATGTTTATTAGGAATAATTAAGATAAACTATGTTAACTGTGGATTATGATGAACTAAAATAAATTCAGACAGAATATTGCCAAGCCATACAATTTAGTAACATTTGTGTACATCTTACAGAGTTTAATATGTTCTCATATCCATTTGCTTATTCAAAGTTTCACAGCAACTTAATAACAAAGCCTTTCAGCTCAGATGCTAGTCACTCATTAACTTATCTGTTGGCTTATTTGTTGGTCTGTTCTTGCCAATCTTCTGCACGTTGCCTCGTATCCAGTCTCTCCTATAGTAAAAGGGAACTTTCTGATGTATTAAACTTGAAAATATGGAGAATAATTAAATGCTGACGACAGACGTTGCCTCATGAAAAGTTTGGGAATAGCTCTCAGGGAGAAATCCTGTTCTGGACCTGAGTGAAGCCTGGCGGTGGCTTGTAGGTTTCCACAAATTACAAACCATAAACTCCACAATGTGGCAATTCACTTTCTATCGCTACTCAGAAATGCAAAAGAAAATTAATTTCTCATAGAGTGGTTTAATTATTTTCACAATATTATTTAAACATTGTTTAATAATATTTAAATATTATTAAAGTCTTAGAGGGGAATTTATTTTAAGGAAAATGTTGAGGATGTGGGGAAAGATTTTACATACCTAAGATATTTTCACAGTCTTGCTTATAATAGCAAAAAGAAAAAAAAAACTGGAAATAAGCTCAGCATTTGTGAATTGAGGGTGGATAATAAAGTATGTTGGAGCCCCACAGGAAGCGCTGAACCCTGCCAAAGCAGTGGTGTGGACTCTAGCCATGACCTAGCCAGAAAATATTGGCATCTGGGTCAGGTAGAAAAAGCATGTTACTGTCAGGGTGTGGTGGCTCACACCTGTAATCCCAGCAATTGGGAGGCCAAGGCAGGCAGATCAACTGAGGTCAGGAGTTCAAGACCAGCCTGGCCAACATGGTGAAAACTCATCTCTACTAAGAGTACAAAAATTAACCAGGCATGGTGGCATGTACCTGTAATCCCAGCTACAGGTACATGGGGAGGCTGAGGCAGGAAAATCCCTTGAACCTGGGAGGTGGAGGTTGCAGGGAGCCGAGTCAGCACCACTGCACTCTGTCTCAAAAAAATTAAGAAAAAAAAGCATGTTATTAAAAGGGATGTGCAAAATGACTTTATTATTTCCCCTCCCACCTCCCCTGGTAGAGAAAACCTTGTGTATGGGCAAGCGTGGAAAATTATTAGATCGCTTTGCTGTGAGAGAACACCCAGAGTAACGGTGGCTTAAGCAGCTTGCACTTTCTCTCACTCAGCCTGGGGCCGGCCATGTGGCTCCTCCAGTGCCTCACTGTGTTGCCCAGGCTGGTCTTGAACTCTTGGTCTCAAGTAATCCACCCACCTTGGCCTCCCAGAGTGCTGGAATTACAGGCGCCACCCACTGTACCTGTCCACTGTTCCGCTATTATCAGGGACTCCGACATCTGTCCTATTCCTCTTCCATCCTCTTGACACTCACCTTGACCCTCAAAGTCAAGATGGCTGCTCCAGCTCAAGCCATCATGTCCCAGTCCCGCGTGTCGGGAGGAGAGAGGAGGGCTTGAGTTCTTCAAGGTGCTTCTGGGAGTTGTGTGTAACTTGGCCTAGAAATTGGCCCTATGGCCATGTGTCATTGCAGTGTTGGGACATGGGGCCTTAATTCTGAACAGCTGGGACCAGTTGGAAACGAGGCCCTGCCACCATGGTAGGCAGGGAGACGGGCGGTGAGGACGACTGGCTGCCCAGCGCAGGTGACAGCACTCCAAATACACTCACGACAGTTATCTTTGAGGAGGGGAATCATGGGAGGTTTGGGGTATTTTCTTTTTGTTTCCTGTTTTTAAAATTTATCAATAATTGGCATGCATACTGTTATGAAAATAGATGTTTACCAAATCCAAGGTTTAGGAAGACATCTCTTTTAAACTATGAGGCAAATTTTAGCTGTGTGTTAATTGAAAACATTGGATTCCCTCCAGCTTCCTGTCAGGCCTCTCTTGTCCTCACGTTGAAATAGCAAGTGCACGCTGTCCTGAGGTGTGCCTTGGCACCCCTGTCCCAGTCATCTGTGCTTTTCCAGACTAGCGCCCTTTGACTGGGAGTCGGCTGGGACGTGCCATGGAATTCATGCCGTGGGTGAGCTCTGTGGTGCTTTCCCACGTGTGTTCTTAGTGAGTGCTGTGAGGCAGGCAGGCGGGGCTTTTGTTTAGGTTTGCAGGTGAGGCATCTGCTCTCAGGGCAGTTTAGGGGTCTGATCGCTGTGGGACCCAGCTCTTCAGCTGTGGCTTCTGGGCTTTCCCACCATGCCCTCGCTTCCTGCAGTCAGCAGTGCTCTAGGGCCTGTGCCAGTCGTGTCTTCCAACGCTCTCAGGTGGCAGCTCTGTGAGATCTTGTGAGACTTGGACTCTTGTGTCAGGGACTCAGGCCCTGCTTGGGGAGGTATGAGGTCGTACGCGCAGGCTCCAGCAGCACTGTATGCGCTACACTGTGGCTGAGAGCAGAGGGGACAGAAACAGATGCAGTACCTGTCCCTTAGAGCTTTCCTTCTAGCAGGGTGCAGGGGCAGGGAACAGGCAAAGAACAAATCAACGAATCTGAGTATGTGAGTAAAGAGCCGTCCTGGGGTGGGGGGAACAGTGGGGCAGTACCACGGAGGGGAGGGGCTGGAGCATGGGCTGGCCTGGGAGGCCCCTCCGGGACCTGGCCTTTGCCCAGTCGAGAAGCTCATCGTGTGGGTAGTGACAGGGGATGGGCCTGTGTGGCCACTGCAGAGTATTGTGGGGTGATAGGGATGGAGTCTGAGAGGTTTGGGGGCAGCACTGTGTAGGGCCGTGGAGGCATCTGTGCGGGCCCTTGTCCCTGGGAGTGAGAGGAGCGTACTTGGAGGAGAGCAAGGGGTGACAGGATTCCCGCAACCCCTTTACATGCAGAAATGATGAAGGGCCACAAGGAGCTTTTGTTTACTAGGCATTTAGCAATTCGTTTAAAATAGTAATACTTTGATTACATGTATACTTTTTTATGAAAAATAAGCTATCTTCAGCAAAACGTAAGAGACCTAGTGAGTGTGGCACTGTTGTTGTGTGGAAGTCTCCTTACTGCCTGTTGCTGGAAGACAGCCAGTGCTCAGACTTCCCGGTCCCACCCGCTGCAGTTGCCATGTCGTCATAGTGCCGGAAGCCTCTGGAAGCATCACCGTATCCCTGTGAGAAAAGGAGCATGCAAAAGGCAGGTGATGTCCTAGTAACATCATGAAAACAGTTTTGACTTTGTGGACCTCGTGAGAACGCCTTGGGGTTTTGGAAACCACTGACGTGAGCAGCACTGACGGAGCACTTTCTGTGTATTCAGCACCTGCCCAAGATGTATTTGGGTTTCTGAGACATTGCCTCGTCCACTCTGTGGAGAATGGACCCTAGTGGGGTCCATGGACTTTGGGGGGCCTGCTAGGAGAACATCGCAGCAGTGGCCTTGGCTTGGTTGGTGGCTGGGCGGTAGAGAGAAGTCAGGTTCAGAGCGTCTTTTGAACACAGCCTACAGCATTTGCTGGTGGATTCATGGCGGGGAATGAGAAGGGAAAGAGCCCACGGTTTTGCCCTGGGCTGCTGAGGCTTGGAGTTGCCATTTCCCAAGTGTATTAGTCTGTTCTCATGCTGCTAATAAAGACATACCTGAGACTGGGTGATGTATGAAGGAAAGAGGTATGATGGACTCACAGTTCACCATGACTGGGGAGGCCTCACAATCATGGCAGAAGGGGAAAGAGCAGCAAAGTCACGTCTTACATGGCAGCAGGCAAGAGGGCGTGTGCAGGGAAACTCCCATTTATAAAACCATCAGATCTCATGAGACTTACTGTCATGAGAACAGCAAGGTAAAGACCTGCCACCGTGATTCAGTTACCTCCCACCAGGTCCCTCTGATGACATGTGGGGATTATGGGAGCTAAAATTCAAGATGAGATTTGGGTGGGGACACAACCAAACCATTATCCTGAGAGAAGGACGGCTGAGAGAGGCGTGAGGGTGACAGTTTATTATGGTGACGTTTAGTGTCACCAAGTAAAACGATGGGGCTTTCCTAAACACCATAGGCCTTAGGTGTGTAGGAAACTGCTTTTAAAACTGAATCTACACAGTGGCATGAAGGGGCGAATCTACACAGTGGCACGAAGGGGCGGCAGGATCATTTCACGTTACTTTACCTGAACTTTTCGTATTTCTCTTTTTTAATGATGTTTTGTGATATATTAGTATATGTTTTGGTAGTGGCGGCTCAATTTTTTTTTTTTTTTTTTTTTTTTTTACAAAGAAGACTGAATGGTCAGAAAAGTTTGAGGACTCCTGGCATGTACACCAATAATGGCCACTGAAACTTTTGGAATTCCCATGCCAGGGTCTGTCTTTCTTTGCCCCATCAAGCTTGGCCCCTGTGTTTTCCTTGTAGCCAGTGAAACTGGGTGATGGCCAGATGCATGGCCCTGTGTGAAAGCAGGTGTGCCCCTGAGATATAGGTGTGCCTTGGGCAACATGCGGAATGAGATATGGCGTTGGACTTTGCTTTGAGGAGTCGTGAGTTCTGCTTCTGCTGATTTTTATTGTTTGCAACTCATTCCATCCTTTCATTCTCTGTCGTGATGACTGGGAAGCAAGGCAGATGGCCACAGCTTCCCTCCCTCTAGCATCCGGTAAGAAGGAAGCCGCATCCTGGGGGATGTGGGGGTCTTAGCCAGCCTCCTGTACTTGTTTGTGGGTCTCACAGAGTTGGTCACTGGTTCACTGCTCTGTCACAGCCACCCCTTTGCTGGGTTGCGTCTAGGTTGTGGTATTTTGCTGTGCTCACATTAAGGGGGCAGGTTTTGTGTTCGAACAGCCCACGCAGACCTCTCACTCCTTCGTATGAGGCTGTCCTTTCAGGTGTGTTGATTGGGCTTGGTGAAGCAATGCTAATGAATTTCCTTTTCGGTCCTTCAAGGAAGAAAGGCCAAAGATACTATAAAAGCAGCTCGGGAGAGCCTTGCGAAGATGATTGGTGGGAAACCTCAAGACATCATCTTCACTTCCGGGGGCACTGAGGTGAAGCTTCTAAACACGCTTACGTTCTTTCAGCTGTGAGTTGTAATAAAACACACAGAAAGTGCTTCCCTTCTGCTACATTTTCATTTAAAGAAAGAGTGGGCCAGGTGTGGTGGCTCATGCCTGTAATCCCAGTACTTTGGGAGGCCAAGGTAAGAGGGCTGGTTGAGCCCAGGAGTTTGAGACCTGCCTCGGCAACATAGGGAGACCTCATCTCTACAAAGAAAAAAAAAATGAGCTGGGTGTGGTGGTGACACCTGTAGTCCCAGCCACTAGGGAAGCTGGGGTGGGAGGATCATTTGATTCCAGGAATGCAAGGCTGCAGTGAGCTGTGATCACACTGCCGCACTCCATCCTGGGCAAGAGAGTGAGACCCTGTCTCAGAAAGAAAAGAGTAGTGTGTGGTCTTGCTGTACTGCATGTTAGCGTGAGATAATTCTTATGTATCCTTCAGGTAGCTGATAGGATTTTTGTAATGTAATATGTAATTTGTTATTTCCATAAGAAGGTTTCCCCATCATTTTTGCCCTGGAATCATTCCTTTTCATCCCTAATTGATAGGTGTTTAAGGGCTTTTCAAGGTTTTGCTGTAACAAACAGTGCTGCACTTAGTATTAATAAATACCCTTTAGACACACCATTTTGCTTCACTGTGGGCACAGCTTTGGGAAAAAGTCCAAGAACTAGAATTGCTGGGTCACAGGCCTCACTTGGTGGATGTGCCAAGTGGCCCCCGGTAGAGGTTGTACCAGTTTACACTCCCACCCATAGTGGGTGGCTGCACAAAATACTCTTTATGGCAGATTATAAAATTTAAAAATTCATAATGTGCTTTTTTGTTTGTTTTTGAGACAGAGTCTTGCTCTGTTGCCCCGGCTAGAGTGCAGTGGCGCCATCTTGGCTCCCCACAACCTCTGCCTCCCCACAACCTCCGCCTCCTGGGTTCAAGCAGTTCTCTGCCCCAGCCTCCCGAGTAACTGGGACTACAGGCACACACCACCATGCCCAGCTAATTTTTGTATTTTTAGTACAGATGAGGTTTCACCATGTTGGCCAGGCTGGTCTCCAACTCCTGACCTCATGGTCCACCCGCCTTAGCCTCCCAGAGTGCTGGGATTACAGGCGTGAGCCCCTGCGCCCGGCCTCAGATTCATAATATTCTATGCATGTAACAAAACTGCACTTATACCAACACATTTATATAAATTATTAAAAATCAATAATATTGCTTAACAATGAAACAGACATGATTGACTAGAAATGAATCTCAAGTTTTTAAATGTTGGAAAACCCCAGATCTTTCAAAAGGTACAGTTCAGGAAGTTGGATTTCTTTGAAGCTTTTTTGATGTTAGCCACAAAAGAAATTAGGTGACAGAAATTGTTATTCCAACCCTTACCTCAAGACAGTTTCTGTAAATGCTTTTTTTGCTGTATCTCTGCAGTCAAATAATTTAGTAATCCAATCTGTGGTGAAACATTTCCACGTAAACCAGACCTCAAAGGGAGACACGGGTGTGCACCACAGCCCAGTAGAGGGGGCCAAGCCTCATTTGATCACTTCCTCTGTGGAACACGACTCCATCCGACTACCCCTGGAGCACCTGGCAGAACAACAAGCGGCAGGTGAGTGAGTGTCGGGTGGGCCTGGGACCAGCCTGCTGAGCTCCAGCTGCCAGGTGGGGAGTGAGCTGCGGGCAGAGCCTGGGATCCGCTGCGGAGATGTCACTTCAGTGTGCCACTCACTGTGAGTCTGGTTCTGATGGGGAGCCAGGCCCTGGCACCTTGGTGAATAGTTGCCCATCACTGCCCTGGGCTCCCTAGCTGCCCCTCACTGCAGAGGCCAGCTGCCACAGGGGAGTTGGCAAGTGTGGCCAAACTCTCCCTTAGGAAAAACATTGAGAATCAATATGTAGAACTAGCCGTTTGTATAACTGAGTGATATTTGAAACTTGTATGTAATAAATATTTAACCTTTAAATAGTACACCTGCAAATTGACAAATGATGCTTGTCTTTATTTGGTTTTCATCATAAAATCTCAGCTCCCACTCTCCATGAAGGAAAGGATCAGATCGACCTAAACTTCAGGTGTGAAGCCTAGAATAAGTGAGCCGCCGCACCTGATCTTAGCGCTCATGGGGTGAGCCCCTCGCTGTGCGTGGAAAAGCGGAGTGAGGTGACGCCCCGGTGCAGCAGGGGCCTCGGGGAGGAGGAGGCTCGCTGCAGCAGCGGTGGCCTTGTGGCTGTCACACAGCACGGATAGAGCCATTTTTCAGTTTTCCTGTCATAGGAAGTCTCAAAAGGGAGTGACATGTTTACCAGGTGTAGACCATTAGCATGTAAAAGCAGGGCAGCCACTTAACCCACACTGTCCTTGAAACAGCTTCCTCTCAGCCTGAGGTTTCTTGTGTAATCTGTCTGGAAACCTGAAGATGAATAAAAAGAAAATATTTTTGTCTTAAAGATTAAGGGACTGTGGCCAAACTGCTTGGTTTGACTATGAAGCCTTTTTTGAAAAAATATTTTGGGCCGAGCACAGTGGCCCATGCCTGTAATCCTAGCACTTTGGGAGGCCAAAGTGGGCGGATCACTTGAGCTCAGGAGTGAGATCAGCCTGGCCAACATGGTGAAACCCTGTCTCTACTAAAAATACAAAAATCAGCTGGGCTTGGTGGCACATGCCTATAGTCTTAGCTACTGAGGAGGCTGAGGCAGGAGAATTGCTTGAACTCTGGAGGCGGAGGTTGCAGTGATCCAAGATCATGCCACTGCACTCCAGGCCTGAAGACAGAGCAAGACTCCATCTTGGGGGGGAAAAAAGAAAAATTTTATAACGTAACATTCTCTTTGTGGTCTTACTTGAATGCTTGCCCATATGTGAACATATTCACGTGAAAGATTTAGATGCTGCCCAGCGAAGTGGCTCAAGCCTGTAATCCCAGCACTTTGGGAGGCCAAGGCCGGCAGATTGCCTAAGGTCAGAAGTTCAAAACCAGCCTGGTCAGCATGATGAAACCCCATCTCTATTAAAAAAAATAAAAATAAAATAAAGATTTAGATGCCAATATTTAATTTTTTAACCACTTTTTAAAAATGATCTAATTTTTTCTTTTAAGTACTGCTAGTTTCTGGTACCTTTTTTTTTTTTTTTTCCTAGTACTTTTTTTTTTTTCTGGTACCTTTTATTCCCTGTCTTACCAGTACAGAGAAGGGCAACTTAGTATACATCATGATTAGTTACCGCTGTAATTAACCTTTTGTTTAATTGTGCAATAAAAAAAATAAACAGAATGCATGTGATGAAAATAGTTAAAATGTTATAGAAAAGTATAAAGTAAAAAGTCCGCTGGATGCGGTGGCTAACACCTGTAGTCCCAGCACTTTGGGAGGCCAAGGCAAGCAATCACTTGAGGTCAGGAGTTCAAGACCAGCCTTGCCAACATTGCAAAACCCTGTCTCTACTAAAAAAAAAAAAAAAAAAAAAAATTGGCCGATCGTGCTGGTGGGCACCTGTAATCCCAGCTACTTGGGAGGCTGAGGCAGGAGAATCACCTGAACCCGGGAGGCGGAGGTTGCAGTGAGCCAAGATCGCAACTCTGCATTCCAGCGTGGGTGACAGAGTAAGATTCTGTCTCAAAAAAAAAGTCAGTTTTTCCCGAGCTGCCCCTAATCCTCTGCAGAGGCAACCGCTGTTACAGTTTGCCTTGAGTTTTTATTGTGGATATTACCATTTTAACCCCTTCCAGTTTAAGCTAAATAACTTAAACACCTAACCCCCAGTTCTTGGTTTATCAACACAGGCATCCCCAATGTAAAAATGAGGACTTGGACCCTCATAAGCCTTCCTCACACTCCCTCTCCCTCCACACGTCCCAGTGTATTTCTTTGTAGATCAGCTTTAATGAGCTGTCATTTATCTACTTACAGTGTACAGTTCAGCAGTGTTTAGTGTCGTCACTGCGCTATGCCGCCATTGCCACTCTCAGTGATAGAAAATTCTCACCAGCCCCAAAAGAAACCTTGTACCAGTCAGCTGTAAATCTTCATTTCCTTCCACCCTATGCAACCTCTCAACTACTTTCTGTCTCTGTAGATTTCCCTATTCCAGACTCTCCTATGAATGGAATCTTATATCGTGGTCCTCGTGACGGCCTTCCTCCATTTCACATAATGTTTCAAGGTTCACCCATGTTGTCGCATGTAAAGCAGTTAATTCCTTTTTATGGATAAATAATATTTCATTGTATATCTGTACCACATTTTGTCTGTCAGTCAATAGACATTTAAGTGGTTTCCATTTGTTGGCGGTTATGACTGATGTGACATTTGTCTGTATGTTTTAGTGTATTGGTGTGTTTTTATTTCTTTTGGGTTTATACTTGAGTGGGATTGCTGGGTCATGTGGTAACTGTCTGACAACTTTTAAGGTAACTGTTTAACCTTAAGCTTTGCTTTCCAAAGTAGACTCGCCACTTGGTACTCCTATTTGCAGTGTGACAGGGTTCCCGTTCTGTCATGTCTTTGCTGACATTTGTTATCTGTCTTTTTGATTATAGCCATCGTAGTAGGTGTAAAGTGGTAACTCATTTTGGTTTTGATTGGCAATTCCCTGACAGCCATAGTGTTGAGCATCTTTCATGTACTCATTGGCCATTTGTATATGTCTTCTTTGGAAAAATGTCTATTATTAATTATCCCTACTTTAATTGGATTACTTGTCATTTTACTGAGTTGTAAGAGTTCTTTATATATGCATGATACAAGTCCCTTATCAGATGGATTGTTTGTAACTGTTTTCTCTCATTCTGTGGGTTTGCTTTTGCTCTTAATGGTATCCTTTGAAGAACAGAAGCTTTTCATTTTGATGAAGTCTATTTTTCTGTTGTTGTTGTTGTTCCCTGTGTTATATCTAAGAAGATTTTGTCCTACCCAAGGTCATGAAAATGCACTCTTTTTTTTGTTTGTTTGTTTTTGTTTTGAGACAGAGTCTTGCTCTCTTAGCCAGGCTGGAGTACAATGGCACAGTAAGGGCTCACTGCAACCTCTGTCTCCTGGGCTTAAGTGATTCTTCTGCCTCAGCCACCTAAGTAGCTGGGATTACAGGTGTGCACCACCATGCCTGGCTAATTTTTGTATTTTTAGTAGAGATGGTGTTTCACCATGTTGGCCAGGCTGGTCTTGAACTCCTGACCTTAGGTAATCCACCTGCCTCAGCCTCCCAAAGTGCTGGGATTATAGGCATGAGCCACCATGCCTGGCCTCCTATATTTTCTTCTAAGAGTTTTATAGTTTTAGCTCTTACATTTGAATCTGTGGTACATTTAAAGCTAATTTTGTGTGTGGTGTAAGGGAGGAGTCCACATTCACTTTTTTTGCCTGTGGACATCCGGTTGTTCCAGCACATTTGTTGAGAAAACTCTTCTTCCATGGGTGGTCTTGGTACCCTTTTGAAAATCAGTTGACCGCAAAATATGAGGGTTCATTTCTTGATTGTCAACTCTATTCCATTTACCCGTATTTCTATTCTTAGATTGGTACCAAACTGTTAACGATGACTATAGCTGTGTACTACGTTTTGAAGTAGGAAAGTAGGAGTTCTCCAGATTTGTTATTTTCAGTATTGTTTTGGCTATTCTGCTTCTGTTGAAATCTCAAAAGAATTTTAGGATCAGCTTGTTAATTTCTGCAAAAAAAAAATCTAGGAGCTTGATAGGGATTGAATTGAATCTGTAGTTCAATTTGGTCAATATTGGTACCGTAACAATATTGTTTTCCAATCCATGAACATGTGGTGTCTTTATATTTAATTTCTCCCAGCAGTTTTGTAGTTTTCAGGGTTAAGTTTTGCACTTTTGTTAAATTTATCCCTAAGTGTTTATTCTCTTGAACTATTGTAGATGGAATTGTTTTCTTATTTCATGTTTGGATTGTTCATTGCTAATGTATAGAAGTGTAGTTGACCCCTGAGCAACATAGGTTTGAACTCTGTGGGTCTACTCATATGTGGGTCTACTTATATCTGGATTTTCTCCTGTTTCTACTATCTCTATGACATCAAGATCAACCCCTCTTCTTCCTCCTCCTCAGCCCACTCAATGTGAAGATGATGAAGATGAAGACCTTTATGGTGATCTACTTCCACTTAATTAATAGTAAATATATTTTTTATTCCTTATGATTTTCTTAGTATTTTTTCTTTAGTTTATTGTGAGGATACAGCATATAATATATATAATATACAAAATTTATGTTAATCAACTGCTTACATTATCAGTAAGGCTTCTAGTCAACAGTAGGTTATTAGTTGTTTAAATCTGGGGGGAGCTGCCTGGGTGTGGTGGCTCATGCCTATAATCCCAGCCCTTTGGGAGGCCCACTGGGGGGTGGATCACTTGAGGTCAGGAGTTTGAGACCAGCCTGGCCAACATGGCAAAACCCCATCTTTACTAAAAATCCAAAATTAGCCAGGTGGTGGCACATAACTGTAATCCCAGCTACTTGGGAGGCTGAGACAGGAGAATTGCAGAACCTGGGATGCAGAGGCTATAGTGAGCTGAGATGGCACCACCACACTCCAGTCTGGGTGACAGAGCGAGACTCCATGTCAAAAAAAAAAAAAAAAGT